TGCTATAATGAGATGAATGGCTTTACTCTTTCACAGTGACAGATATACTCAATATATTGTCACTCTCCCACAGCCTTTTCCATAAATCCAATCAGTTATTCATTATGAAGTAAATAGGTAAAAGGTCACCTTCATTCAGGCATCAATCCATAAACCCATAATCAATGCTGCACAGTGTTTGGGGACACAAAAGAATGAACATTGTTCTGTTTTCTGTTCTAACTTATAATAATGACACATGTGGACAGAATAGCATAAGGTGTGTTAGTGCTAAAACTGTCATTAACAAACATTAAAAAAACATTTCAAAAATTAATTAAATTAAATAAATCACTCGCTGCCGCTCTCTAAAGGCGTCATTAACAAAACATCAAACAAACAAACGTTGCTCACCGCCGGCCTCTAAAGGCGTCTTTAACAAAACATCAAGTAAACAAACATTACTCACCACCGCCCTCTAAAGGCATCATTACCAAAACATCAAATAAACAAACATTACTCACCGCCGCCCTCTAAAGGCGTCATTAACAAAACATCAAATAAACAAACGTTACTCACCGCCGCCCTCTAAAGGCGTCATTAACAAAACATCAAACAAACAAACGTTACTCACCGCCGCCCTCTAAAGGCGTCATTAACAAAACATCAAACAAACAAACAACGCTCGCCGCCGCCCTCTAAAGTCGTCATTAACAAAACATCAAATAAACAAACAACGCTCGCCGCCATCCTCTAAAGGTGTCATTAACAAAATATCCAAACAAGCAAACGTCGCTCACCACCGCCTTCTAAAGGCGTCATTAGCAAACATCAAATAAACAAACGTACAAACGTCGCTCACTGCCACCCTCTAAAGGCATCATTAGCAAACATCAAATAAACAAATGTACAAACGACGCTCACCGCCGGCCTGTAAAGGCGTCATTAACAAACATCAAATAAATAAACGTTGCTCACTGCCGCCCTCTAAAGGCATCATTAAAACCCATCATGTTTTTTCTAAATTCTTGAGTTAAAGCTTTATGTTTTACTCTGATCTCTTTTTCAGTGTTTCTGGACTCTTCTTAAGTCAGGCTCTTTTTATTAAGCTGTTTTCTCAGTTGTTGTTTTTATGATAAATGGTTCCATATGTATCCATGCAGCCAGAAACAGATGAAAAACTTAAAAATGTTCTTCAGCAGGGTTCTGTGGTGGATCTGCTTTATTCCACAGGTTCACAACAGTCTTGTTTTCTTTATGTGTCTGTCTCTGAGCGTGCTGCTTTCACAGAGCTGAGTTCTTTCTGGTACATACTTTTTACACTAAAATTTGAAAATACCAGCTGCTGTTTACACTGTGACAAAATTTCATGACCAGTAGACCAACAGAAATGTTTCAAAACCACTAAAATAAAATAAAATCTCTTAATATTAACTTTCATTCAAAGTTAAGAAAGATCTTCTGCTGTACACCATTTTGGAGATCTGCTCTCTCTCTCTCTCTCTCTCTCTCTCTCTCTCTCTCTCTCTCTCTCTCTCTCTCTCTCTCTCTCTCTCTCTATATATATATATATATATATATATATATAATATCTTTCTTGTGAGTTCTTCTTTCTCATTTTCACTTTGTATTCTTGTGTTTATTAAACTGTAAGACCAGCATACACTGACCGGCCACTTCATTAAGTCCACCTCCTTGTTTCTACCCTCACTGTCCATTTTATCAGATCCACTGACCATACAGGTGCACTTTGTAGTTCTACAGATGAGCTATCGTCTCTGACTTTACATCTACAAGGTGGACCAACAAGGTAGGAGTGTCTAATATAGTCGACAGTGAGTGGAAACTCCAGCAGCACTGCTGTGTCTGATCCACTCGCACCAGTGCAACACACACTAACATGCCACCACTACGTCAGTGTCACTGCAGTGCTGAGAATGACCCCCCACCCAAATAATATCTGCTCTGTGGGGGTCCTGTGGGGGGTCTTGACCATTGAAGAACCAGGTAACAAAGTATGCAGAGAAACAGATGCACTACAGTCAATGCAGCTGATAAAATGGACAGTGAGTGTAGATACAAGGAAGTGGCCGGTTTGTGTATCTTATACTGTGTGACAAAAATGATCTTCATTAATCCTGCAGCTATAATTACTTCATGTTCCCGCTGAGGTGGAATTAATTTGCCACATTTGCTGCATACATTTAAATTAATTCCCCCAAGCAATCGGTCAACGGACATATTTATAACGTATATCACCCATCCAGGACCAAATACCTGCAGTCTGTTTATCCTTATCTTATTCAGTTTCATTAAAGCAACTTCTTGACAGTGTGTGAAATACCTCCTGGTATTCGGGGGGGTCCCATGTTGTCTGGCTACTCCAGTGTTGACTGGCTACTAACTCACTCACCATAGTGGCGCTGATGCTTTAATGGCAAAAAATTTTTGTTTTAACAGTCATTCTTCTGGAAATGCTCTGTTTTATGCACTTTTCCTCACATTAACAGAGATCTTACTCATCTCCTCTTCTGTCTCACTGTGAGAAATGAGGAACAGTCACTCTTTACACCAAACTCTTGGGAAACTGAGGGAGTTTTCAGATTTACAGATATGCTGCAGCACATTGTAAAGTTTTTCAGAGGAATCCAGGCAGAGTTACAGTTTATAGACTATGAAGGACCAACTGGGTGAACCAGTCTGCTACAGCGCCACCCTGAGGCAGAGCAGTGCAGCAGCTCTATTTAGTTAAGATACCAAAGACAGAAGCTGATTGTGGGTGAAGCAGATAAACAATGAGTTTCACTGAATCTGGATTTGAGCGTCTGTTTTTCTCCTAACAAACAACTTAACTTTATAATAAGTTTATTTTCAGGGACCCCCCCCCCTAAATTTCGATTTTAAGACATTCCAGGAGGTTATTTAGGGGGTCCCGGATCCCCTCAGCACCCCCTGTATTTTGCACCTTGCTTCTTGGTGTGAAGAGCAGGTTTTTTCTAAATAATGTTGTGATAGTTTTCTTTTACAGACTACTGTTTAAGGCACATACGGAAACTCTTAAACAGTGAATCATCTCTGGTTTTAAAGGAGGCACAAACTGTTGACAGGCAGTCTGAGTCTCCAAAACAGCCGTCTGTGGAGGTTTTTCTGGCCGCTCTGTCAACCGCTGAATCATCCTAAAAACCTACTGGCCCACATTCACAACTCAGCTAGAAGTACTGCGGTCTGACTGACCTTTGACCTCTTTAAAAGGAATGGCCTTTGTTAATGCTCAAAAAGCGAAGATGACATCACAACCTTTCATTTGATTACAATTCCTTAAGTCTTCTGATTTGATTCAGAATAATTTGTACTAATTTTTGTCAGTTATTTTCATTTTGATCAATTTAACTACACTTAAAAATGATAGTTCTTCAAGGATTCTTTAGTAACATGAACACTCATAGAACCCTTTGCTTGATTAAAGCGTTCTTTGCATGGTGAAATGGTTCTTCAGATTGATGGAGAATCTTCTGTATATGGTTCTACAAAGCACCCAAAAGGGTTCTTCTATTGTATACAAGCTTGACATTAAAACAATAGCAGAAGCCTTTGTGGTACTATATAGAACCCTTTTTCAAAACCATCTGCAGCACATTCTCCATCAATATGAAGAACCATTTCACCATGCAAATGTTTTTTTTAATGGTGTTCATGGTTCTATATAGAACCATTTTCTTTACTAAAGAACCCTTGAAGAACCATCATTTTTAAGTGGGTACTTTAACTACTAGTTAACTACTTTTAACTATTTAATTCAGACTCTGTTAGGGTCTGTCTGTCTGTCTATCTGTCTATATAACCAAACCACAGGTTCGTTTATGGAGCTATGTGCACATATGGACATTTCAACCTGACAACTTTGTTTGGTAAATTAGCTACAATTAACGCAGCTATTACTCTAATTTAGCGTTAGTTAAACCTGCCTCTGTGGATTCATTCAGGACACAGCAAGAGATACAACACATCAGAATTAAAAATGAATGGAGTTATCAAATTAATTCACAGATATGGCAGATTTAATAACAACTTATCTCACAATAACTTCACTTATATTCAGCAGGAATGGCAATCCTATATTGTTCTACTTAGTTTAATTAAATGATTTCGATGTTTATCCATGTATTTAAACTACTCTACTACTAGTAATAATAAAAATAATGATAATAAAAACTATAATACTATTACTAATATAATATAATATCATTATATTAGTAGTAGTAGTTATAGTTTGTGATCAAAGCAGAATTCATTAAGCTGCACCTAAATGAGTGTATATATTATGTAGTTAAAATTTATGCTTGGAAAAACCACAAGACACATTTTCCCTTGCATTCCTTGGGGCGCTCCAACTTCCAGCACCAACACGCCTCCCACCAACACCCCCCCACCCCCAACCCACAAGACCGCTTGGGACCCCTGATTTACACATTAGCAGCATATATACCAAAACACAGTACACTGAACTGCTGTTTTTTTTTGGACATTTACGTTTGAAAATAAAGTATTTGCTCTTTTTTTGGCAGCATGTCTGATACTTATGTGAAATTAAATTGAACGAGCACTTTTATCATGACTTGGATACTTTACAACCAAAACACAGCTTCGGTATTAATAATGAATATTTTTGCCATTCCATCTATGATTCACTGATGTCTAGAAAACACACAATAAAGGGTAGAAATGTAGAGGGTGAAAATAAAATAGAACGAATGATCAATATATATATTCCAGCTGAATCACCACCTTCAGATCAATATCCAAACAAAAAAAAAAACCCACTAAAAAAAACAAAAACACACATTGTTGTTGTAATAGCGTCTGTGTGCCATTGGGGGCGCTGTTCTAAACTTTAAGCTTCCACATATTGCGCATGTATTGAATCTCACCTGTCTCACCTGGCTTAACGCTGCCAGCACACCTGAACTCTCACCTGCCTGAATGTTTCTCTTTACAGAAAAAGGTAACAACGCTAAACTCACTTGTCCAGAACAAAGTAGAGGTCAAATCCGCCGTAGCAGGAGGATCCGGCCTCCCAGCGCTCGTAAGCCTGTCCATCAGCACCACTGGCCAGCAGGACCACCACCGCACACACGCTGGTCAGCCTGGTCCAGCACACCCACACCATCCCAACAGGCCGTCCAGCAGAGCAAGGAGGAGGAAAAAGTACAGAGAGAGAGCTCAGCTGCTCTCTAAAGCACGAGGGAGGAAAGAGAGAGAAAGAGAGAGAGAGAGAGAAGAGAGAGAGAGAAAGACCTCCTTCAACACAACACAACACCAGGACGTCCCAGGTCACTCCTCCATCCACAAAAACTTTATTAATTCATTCTGGCAGTACAGATATTAAAATAGAACTGTGCAGAAGTCAGAATATGATCTGTAAAGCTAATTATCAGCACAGTAAACATTTAAACACTAACATTATCAGAATAAATACAAACAAATAAACAATCTGCTGTGATTAATCCATATCACCCTCCTAATCAATATTTCATTACATTAACTCAGCTGAGCTATGAGCCAGTGTTCCTCTAATCTCCATATTCCTAACTTCACTGAGAAACACATTCTGACCACTGAGTACTGTATTTTTGTTTGTTTGTGTATTATAATGTTGTGCAGTGTTTTTACTGATAAACTAAAAAAAAGGTTTCTAAAAGTTTCATAAGTAAATAATTAAAATGAGCTATAATAAAAAAGGCTTTCAGTACTATGTGAGAGACTCAGATCATTAAATGAAATTAACTAAGTTTATGGTCTCTCTAAGTTTATGTTGTCTCTCTACAAGAATACTATTCATTCTCTCTCTCTCTCTCTCTCTGGTTGCTCTGCACTAGCGCCACACAGTGGTAAAGAGCAGCACACAGTGCAGATGAACTGAGGGCAGATTATTCTGTCCTTCACTTTAGATAGATAGATAGATAGATAGATAGATAGATAGATAGTTAGTTCAGAGTTTAGTTTGTGCTGCAGCTGTTTAATTCTCTCTGTTTAATGAGCTACAGTGGGAGAAAATGGCCAAAAATATATATGTTAAATATATTTTTAAAGGCATTTATCTGTATTTGTTATTATATTCATTCAGCTGTATGTAATAAAGGTTACAGATGTAACTAAACTGTACTGACTTCTGTGATCTGCATTGTACATTACATTAACCATGTCTGTATGCAGTAAGACACTCACACACAATGTATTTAAATAAACAAGATATCAAATCATAACTGCATTTTCACAGAGTATCAATACCTACAACACTCGCTTTTGCCATGTTAAAGGTTCATTTGGTAATATTTAAAATGAAAATACTAGAATACTAGAAATCTGTGTTCTATCTATCTATAATTCATTTCAAAAGGTATAAAACAGTGAAGTAAATTAGACAGGATTCTGGCTGTTTTCATACATTTTTAATTGCATTTGATAAATACATTTACATACATTTATTTTTGTATGATACATTTCTATGTGTAATATTTCCACACACATTTTAAAATGAATGTATTTTAAAAGATGTTTGATTCAAATGGAAAAATATTCTGAAATACATTTTAGTGTTTGGAATGTATTTCAGCATCGACTGTAATGCATTTGAAATGTATTTCAAATATATAAAAGTGCACGTCTATATTTTTTGTCATATGAGGGATCCTGCTTGATATTCAGCAGGTGAGCGTTTCTGTTCGAGCACTCAGGTGGAGGCTCGTCTCCAGCTGACCCAGTAATGTCTGGAGAAAGATCTGCAACCTGCACAACTGGATCAATAAACCTTCACAGAAAAGAACAAGAAAAATAGGAGAGTTGTGGAGTGGACACACACACACACACACACACACAGAGAACTCAGTGTTGTTCTGCAGGGAGCCTGTCTGAGATTCACTCTGCTGCAGGCAGAGTCCTTACAGCCTCAGTCTTTAAGTCTAGGCTAAAACCTACTTGTTTAGTCGAGCCTTTGGTTTTTCCTGTTAGATAAAAGGTGCAGATCTGGGGGTCCATGGTCATAGAGTATTATGGTAAACTAGGAGTGTTGGTGCTGTCGTCCCACTGCTCTAACGCGCTCGCTCAGGTTTGTTGACGGTGGAGTGGAAGGGCGCTGATGTCTCAGGAAGCCCTCCTGTCTCTGTTACCTTCTGTAATAGTTCGACCTGTCGGAGTCTCTGCTGCACTCTGCTAAACTGTAACCACTCTTTACAGAAGTAACTCTCTGTGTGTTCCTTTGTCGAGCTGAACAACTGCCCATCCTGTGTGATCTGATGCTGTTGCTTCATCTGCCTTGATCGGATGTCCGCTCATAGATATCCATACCTAGATGCCGCGTTGTCTGTTGTTCTCTATCTGAGGCGATACGTCTGCGCATCCACCATGTTAGAACAGTCAAGATCCGCTTGTGAACAAAGTGCTCTTGGCACTTTTATCCAGTTAAGTTGGAAAAGGAAAATTCGAACAAGAAGTTGGCAAATAAGAAGCTAACTTTAGGTTTGTGTAAGAAGGTTGTAATGTTAATCTATTATGAATATCTACAAGGATTAAGGGAAGCTATAACTTAGATAGTTACAAAGCATTAACCATCATTGTAAATAAACAACTACCACATAATGCTAACATTCCCTGAATAGACTATTAAATGAAATAAGCTTAATATAAAACCAGAGGAAAAACAATCACATCAACAGGTTCTCCGTGCATCACCAACCACACGGCCATATCTACACATAAACATCACATAAACAATACGCATCACACAAACATGAGCGTGGATCACTGCATTATATAATCATATCCCACTTTCTAAGTGCAATATTCTTGAAATAGTATTATTTTGGACAATATCTTTTTTAAACTGCTGCTCTGTAATGGTACTGAATGCTGTCCAGCAGTGATTTTGACTTGCTTGGCTGGACCCAACATGGCATTTAGCTATGTATATCTATGTGCCCACTGCTCGCCAACCTTCTGGACCAGTTTGACCACCATGGAACTTCCTGCTGTACAACGCTGAACAAAACTCACCTGCATGAACTGACCCTCTTGATGATGCTGCTGCATTTTTAATCATAGACTTCTCCTGCTTTTCCCCTTTTCTGTGTCTTATACTGATAGTCAAATCTCATTCTGTGCTACTGTTCGCTATCTGGTGTCAACCGGAGGAGGATGGGTTCCCCTTTTGAGTCTTGGTTCCACTCAAGGTTTCTTCCTCTCGCTCTTAGGAAGTTTTTCCTTGCCACTGTCGCCATTGGCAACGCTCACGGGGGCTCAAACGTGGATTTTTTTCTGTACAGCTGCTTTGTGACAACACCTGTTGTAAAAAGCTCTATATAAATAAACTTTGACTAGACTTCACTCCATCAGCAGCTTCTGAACTGTTCAGATTCACATAGGATTCTGACTGGACAGCGGGATGTTTACAAACAACAGTCTTTTCATCAGTGATATAAACACCAAACAGTAAATAACAATAGATTTCAGTAGCAAAAAGTAAATAAGTGTACGGCAACAAACCATCCACAGCTTTGCCTTAATGATGATAGTCTCATAGTCTGTCTTCGTCCATCTGTCTCTGTCCATCTGTCCTGTTCTTTCTTTATCTGTCCTTCGGTGTCCCTCTCCTTCTGTCCTGTTCTTTCTCTATCTGTCCTTGTGTCCCTCTACATCTGTCCTGTTCTATCTCTATCTGTCCTTCTGTGTCCCTCTCCTTCTGTCCTGTTCTGTCCCTGTCCATCTGTCCTTGTGTGTCCCTGTCCTTCTGTCTGTCTGTTTCTATCTATCTATCTATCTATCTATCTATCTATCTATCTATCTATCTGTTTATCTGTCTGTCTGTCTATCTATCTATCTATCTATCTATCTATCTATCTATCTATTCATCTGTCCTTATCCACCTGTCCCCTTCTATCTAACCCTGTTCATCTGCCTAGGTCCATGAAATAGCGGGGACTACAAATATGAAGATGACACATTACAACTTATTCTGTCAAAAAGCTGCACTATGACTACTTACAGACCCACACACCTGGCATCAGGTCAGTTAGTGTGGTAAGTCTGAAGCTCAGTGAGACCACTTTGTCTTTTTCTAACATTTTGACAGTGTTTTCTAGATGCAGCAAAAATAATTCTGGTTGTTATAGAGAGATGGAGCTGAAACTGTAAAGTAAAATACAGTTAAACATCTGGGGACAGTCATGAGAAGTTGCAAGCTGAATGTTGGGGGAATGTAGACTTGCATTAAGGTGCAAACAAACAGATTCTGAAATTTGTAAGCAAGTCCAACATTTCAGGAACTTTCAAAAGTGAAAATGAGGTTCACCACTCTGTGAAAGACTGCACAAGCAAAGAGTGCAATAATTCAAGAATAATATTTCTCAGCGTAAAATAGCAAAGAACTTTTCATCAACTACGGTACATAATATCATTAAAAGGTTCAGAGAATCTGGAGAAATCTGTATATATAAGGGACGAGGCCAAAAACCAGTATTTGCTGACTGTGATCTTTGGGCCCTCAGGTGGCACTGCATTAAAAACAGACAGAGAGGGGCAGCCATCCCAAAGACAGCAGAAACAGAACCCTTGTTTTGCAAGGGTTCTATTTCAGTAGGGTTCTGTTTCTGCTGTCTCTGCTCTTCTCTTTCTTACTGGATCAATGTCATGCAAATGAACTGTCAACCAATCAGATTGTTCACCTGAGATGGCGAGAAACGCTTGTGCCACGCCCTTTGTCAAACTACACTTACACATCTAGCAAAAGAGTGTTACAGTTGTTTAAAATTGGATGGGAGTGGGAGATAACGATGCTGGCTGAAGACCCCACACGACACCACCACTAACAACAGACCACCACCACTTCCCTTGGCCCTGATTGTAAAGTTTGATTTTTGATTTCTGAAGGACACTGTAGGCCTTCATGAGATTGTGTGATTGCTGTGTTCAAACTGGGTGCTCTGAGTGGACTCATCTTGTGTGGAGTGGTCAGCGTAATGGCGGACACAGGACAGGCCACATAGCATCCACAAATTGGAGTCCGTTTCTCAGAGCACCACAGCTGGTCTCTCAGCATGTTCCTGTTACTGCATTAAATTAAACCCAGAGCAAGAGCACAAACACTGACACAACGTTTGAAATTTACGCTGATAAAGGCATCAGTCTAAAGTCTCTAAGACAAACAGACAAATGCTAATGCTGTTAGCTCAGCTAAAGTTTCCAGCCTCGTCTTTTCCGCTTGTGAGAAAACAGTGAGTTTGTGCAGTGATGGTTACCTGGTGCCCAACCATAAATATACTAAATGATTAAACTTTTATTCCATTAAATCTACAAGAGTAGAGAGTAAAATGAGCTTGAGTTGGACTGTCATATGCTCTATGAGAGACATGCTAACCCTACAAGATGCTGAGAAATGAGCTTATGCTTTAATAACAATTAAACAGTAACGTGTTACTGGCTGGTTGTCCTGCTGTCCTTTAAATCCACTCCAACTAGTTCAGAATTCAGCTTATGTGCTCACCAAAAAAAGAAAGTATTACTTCACTCTTATTCAGTTTACACTGGCTTCCTGGTGAGTTTTGCTTTGTCTAAGGACAACGATGTTGTATGCGACATCAAAGGATATCGTACATGAAAGAATAAATATCTTGTGAGCATTGCACACTAAGGACTTACTTTTATTTTTTCTGGAAGAGTAGCATTGTTCCTTTAACAAGAACAAGACAAGAACACGGCCGCTGATTGGTCGACAAGTTGAGAACACAGCCGCCAATTGGTCGAGAAGCCTGGAACATGGCCTCTGACCAGTCGACAAGTCGGGAACACGGCCACTGAGTAGTCGACAAGTTGGGAATACGGTCACCGATTGGTCGACATGTTGAGAACATGGCCTCTGATTGGTTGACAAGTTGGGAACACGGCCGCCAATTGGCCGTCAAGTTGGGAACACAGCCACTGATTGGTCGATAAGCACGGCCACTAATGAGTCGACAAGTCGGGAACACAGCCGCTCATTGGTCAAGAAGCCTGAAACACAGCCTCTGACTGCTCAACAAGTCGGGAACACTGGTCGACAATTCAGGAACACAGACGCTGAATGGTCGACAAGTCGGGAACACAGCCGCCGACTGGTTGGCAAGTCGGGAACACGGCTGCAGAATGGTTGACAAGTTGGGAACACAGCCGCCGATCAGGCGACAAGTCAGGAACACAGATGCTGAATGGTCGATAAGTTGGGAACATGGCTGCCGATTGGTTGACAATTCAGGAACACAGATGCTGAATGGTCGATAAGTCGGGAACCATTAGTGGATGGCTAACAGTCATGCTCACAGAAAATGTTCAGTGTTGGATTTGTTATTATGAATTTACTTTACAAAGTCTCTAAAAAGGCAGTGTAGTTCAAGCCTGGATTTCAAAGCTTCTGAAAGTGATATGACCGCTTACTGTAAGCCACTAGGATGTCCTACAGCTTAGTTAGTGGAACATCATTTTTTCTATAGAGTTCCTACTATAGAGTTCCTAAACTCTGAGTACTGCAACTCAGTTTTTTCTGTTTGCACAAAAATAAGAAGCAAAATATGAGAAAATATTTATTATTATTAAGAGTGCACATTTCAGAATCTGCTAGTGAAATTATCTTGTATTGTTATGGAGAAGATATATGTTAGTTAGTACACCTGTAGGTACTTATCTTGTCACCTGCAACACAACATTACTGTAACGTAGCTGCATTCTGTTATTAAACAAGCTGTAATTACAATACTCTTGTAACAATCAACTCCACAGTAGATTTTAGACATCAGGTGCAGGTTTATTAGACAAACAGAAGTATCAACTATAACAGGCAGAGTCAAAACCGTCAGAACATCAAAGAACAGCAGACAAGCGATCCAAAACCAGGATCTAATACTCACAAAAGAAACACGAAGGCAAAGGGTCACAACCAGCGAAGTCAGACAGATAATACAAGGCTCAGAATTGTAGGATATAATAAAAAAGGACATCACAAATAACATAGTCTAAATGCCCCTTAAATAACCTACAAAATAGCATCTGATGAAACACAGGTGGCTACTAGGGGCTCAGTACTCTGGAGAGTGAGACCTCTGCTGGTGATGAGGGGAACTGGTGGCAGCAGATGTGATAAATCTAGTAATGTACTTTATTTTTACATTTCAAATGTAAATGTAATGCAACTTAGACCTACCTAATTCAACCAGAGCTATGATTATATTTACAGACAGATTAACTTTGCCTTTAATTTGTAAAATTTTATGAAATGTTTATACCTTTTTAACTCTCTGCTGCTGTCATGTCCCATAATGCTGTGCAATACAGCTCAATATCAACCACACAGTAATCTAATTTACACAGTAAAATGTAATGATTATTGCAGAAAAATGGATGTTAAATTCAGTGAAGTCCCAGTAATAATTTACAGTTTAGGACATATAAAGTAATATAAAATAATATATACACACACTAACCAGCCACTTTGTTAAGTTCACCTCCTTGTTTCTACACTCATTGTCCATTTTATCAGCTCCACTGACCTTATAGGAGCATGTTGTAGTTCTACAGTTACAGACTGTAGTCCATCTGTTTCTCTGCATACATTGTTACCCTGTTCTTCAATGGTCAGGACCCCAACAGAGCAAGTATTATTTGGATGGTGGGTCATTCTCAGCACATCAGTGACACTGAAGTGGTGGTGGTGTGTTCGTGTGTGTTGCGTTGGTGCGAGTGGATCAGACATCAACAAGGAGGTGTGCTTAAAGGGGAATTCCACCAATTTTTCAAAATTCCAGCATAATTAAGTGGTTAATATGTACACAGAGTAGTTCTGAGTGGTTTGGTGTGAAACACTTCATTCTAGAGAAATTACCAAGTAAGAATTGTTCACAGTGGTGGTGATAGGAACCAGATGGCCACCTCTAAAAGTTCCCTCACAGAAAGTTATTACATGAAATGGTTATGAATTCACTGCCTGATGTCTGAGACAATGTTTTATGATAGTTTTGAGAATTTAAACTCCATTCGTGGTGGAGGGATACATGCAGGGCGCTGTGAGGTAAAATAGTCACCAAAGATAACTTAAATTTTTCCATTATTTTCCCATCATCGGCATTCCATATAAAACCCAGAAGGTTTACTGGAGGTTTTGAATAGTAAATAAAATATTTGTATATTTAGTCTATATTTGTGTTGTAGTCATGGCGACCCCTGGTTCCTATCACCACCACTGTAAAGAAATCTGAACCGTTTCACACCAAACCACTCTGAATCACTCTGTTTGCATCTCACACACTCAATTATAAAGAACTAAAAAAAATCAGTGGGATTCCCCTTTAATGAAGGGTATATGGGAAATGTCTCACAGGGATTCGTAGTGATTCTTTTCCCTCCAAAAAACGGCAGCTATAATAAGGATGAAGAAAAATTGGCGCGCGTACCTGCGTGTGTGATTGTGTGACGTACTCAGCGGAGTGGAGAGTCTCGTGCTCCGAATGGGAAAACAGAACGTGGCTCGCGCTCCGGTGAGCAGCACGCGCTGGACTTCTGCAGCAGGTAAGCCTCGCACTGCGTGTGTATTTGTATCTGTGGGTTGTTTACTAGAGTTTATCTGTGATTTGTGTTTGCTGTGATTGTAGCTGCTGTATGTTAGTGAAGGAGTTTTATTTGCTTCTGTCTAATGAGGACAGGAAAGAGACCCAAATGGAAAACAATATATGGACATTTTTATGTATTTGAAATACGTTTCAAACACATTGCAGTCGAGGCTGAAATATATTACAAACACTAAAATGTATTTCAGAATATATTGCCATATTAACCAAATGTATTTTAAAATGCATTTATTTTAAAATTGTATGGGGAAATATTTCACATAGAAATGTATCATACAAAAATAAATGTATGTAAATGTGTTTATCAGATAGATTTGAAAATGTCTGAAAACAGCCAAAATCCTGTCTAATGCACTTTTACTGTTTGATACCTTTTAAAATAATTTTTTATTCCAGTATCTGAATTTTAAATATTAGCAAATGAACCTTTAACATGACAAAAGCGAGTGTTGTAGGCATTGATACTCTGTTAAAATGCAGTTATGATTTGATGTTTTGTTTATTTGGAATACATTGTGTGTGAGTCTTACTGCATACAGACATGGTTAATGTAAAGTACAATGCACATCACAGAAGTCAGTACTGGCAGTAACTGAACAATATAATAACTAATTTGAATTATGAATTTGAAACATATTTAACAAATACATTTTTTGGACATTTTCATACATTGAAAAAAATACATTTGATAAATACATTTGTAATATATTTTTTCCATATAGGGAGCGAAGTTGGAAAAAAAATCATAGCAACTATTAAAAGTTTCTGTTGGTTCCTGATGAAGTCAAATAGTCAGTAATAGTGTTTTAATGGTTGATATCACAGTGTAAAGGACTCTAATGGTTTAACAGGTGTTCTGATTCTAGATGCATTTGATTTCCTAATGGGATCTAAAGGTGTCCTACAGGAAACTAGTGGTCTCTAAGTGTAACCATTAAGCCAGTTCCCATTAGAAAAGTTTTAATCCTAATGGCTTTAATGGTGTTTTTCAGTAGGGCAGATTTTGGGAGTTTATTACAGGTGAGCTGATAGCAATGATCTGATCTGCTGAGCTCTGCGCTGGGTCAGTGATGAGGAGGAGACGCTCGCATGTCTGTGTGTCTGGGATGTCACTCAGATGAACACTGACACTAACAGCTTTTAGCAAAACACATTTGAGTTACCTTTAATTAGGAAGTCGTTTATGAGAGTTTAATGACAATAATTTAGAAAAAAGAGTTGAAACTTCACTCTGTCTCATCATCTCTCTCTCTCTCTTTATCTCTCTCTCTCTCTTTATCTCTCTCTCTCTCTCTTTCTCTCTCTCTGTATGTTTTTCTGGCTTTCTTCTCATCTTTCTCTCTCTCACAATGTTTTTCTCTTGTCTTGCTCTTTTTCTTTCTCCCGCGCTCCCTTCTCTCTCTCTCTTACTCTCTCCTTCTCTCTCTGTTTGTATTCTTTCTTGCTTTCTTCTCTCTTTTTCTCGCTTTCTCTCTCTCTCTTTGTACATCTTGCTCTCTTCTCTCTCACTCTCATCCTCTCTCTGTATCTCTCTGTACATCATTCTTGCTTTCTTGTCTCTCTCTCGCTCTTTCTCTCTGTACGTCTTTCTTGGTTTCTTCTCTCTCTCTTGCTCTCTTTCTCTCTCTATCTCTCTGTACATCTTTCTTGCTTTCTTCTGTGTCTCATTCTCCCTCTCTGCTTTTTTCTTTCTTTTTGATGTTATCGTCTTTCTCTCTCTCTTCTCTCACACTGTTTTTCTGTCTGCCTGTCTTGCTCTTTTTCTTTCTCCCCTCTCCTTTCTCTCTCCCCCACTCTTCCCTCTCGCTCTCTCTTTCCTCCCTCTCTCTGTTTGTATCAAACATGCTGTATTATGTATGTGTTATATATAATGTAAAACATTTCTCTCTGTCTCTCTCTGTATGTCTTTCTTGTTTTCTACTCTCCCTCTCTCACCCTCTTTCTCTCTTTCTGTGTCTCTCTGTACATCTTTCTTGCTTTCTTCTCTTTGTCTCTGCGTTTTCTCTTTCTTTTTGATGCTATCGTCTTTCTCTATCTCTTCTCTCAGTTTTTCTGTCTACCTGTCTTGCTCTTTTTCTTTCTCCCCCTCCTTTCTCTCTCCCCCACTCTTCTCTCTCGCTCTCTCTCCCTCTTCTCTCTCTCTATTTGTGTGAAAAAAATGCTGTATTATGTATATATGTGTTAAATTTCTCTCTCTCTCTCTCTCTCTCTCTCTCTCTCTCTCTCTCTCTCTCTGTAGTGATGAACGTGTCCGATGTGAACTGGACGTTAGACTTGGGGTCTAATGTAACCCTGCTGCCATATTACCTGCACTCCTCTGCGATGGCCATGAGCTACATCCTGTCTTACCTGCTGGTGCTGCTGCTGTGTGTGTGTGGTAACGGTCTGGTGTGTGTGGTGGTGCTGCGGAACCGCAACATGCGCTCCGTCACCAACCTATTCATCCTCAACCTGGCAGTCAGCGACCTGCTGGTGGGGGTGGTCTGTGTGCCCACCACGCTGATCGACAGCCTCATATCAGGTTTGTCCACAAACCGACTGTGGAAGACTGTAGATTATATATCACAATACCTACATTTAGAGCCAGTTATTCATTCAGTCTAATAGGAAACTATAGAACAGATTCCAATTTCTTCCTCTAAATTGCATAGACAATCAGGCACCTTAATTTAAACATTACGTTCACCACATCTAATATTTTCTTGCAATATTTGTAACCATATAATATTTAAACTGATCACTAGGTGGTGCTATAATAGTAGTTACAGCTTGAGTTTTCAAACGGTGCTTGGACCCCTGTGATTGCCACTTGCTGTGTTTTTCAGACATTTCACCCTTTTTTAAAATTTGGAATGGCTGTAAGTTTTTATCACATTTGTCACTTTTTTCATCTTTCTAATAAATCCTAGGTTCAGACTGCTCTCATGAACATGATATTTTAGTCATTTTTTTCCTCTTGTAAAGCAGCTTCTGTGACTGACACACCTGCAATTTGAGCACCAATTATCAACCTCTTTCACACCCGTTAGATACTTGAGGCATCAACTTTGACAGCCATCCTTCACACTCTCATTACACAACATTTTCAGATTTGTAGATTGTGTAAGTATGTATGTTCTTGAGATCTTTCATTGTAATGCAGTGTGAAATCTGAAGAAGGAAGCCTCACTGCTTTCTTGAGTATAAATCTATGTTATTATTATTATTACTTTTTTTTTTTTGCAGGTTGGCCCTTCAGTCAGACTACCTGCACCCTCAGTAATCTCATCCAGGGCATGTCTGTGTCTGCATCGGTCTTTACACTCGTCGCCATAGCAGTGGACAGGTAAGGATTTATTACTGATCACATAGGACACATATAACCTACTGGCCACTTTATTAGAAACACCCACACTGTGCTTGCACTAACTGGCCACTTTATTAGAAACACCCACCTTTTGCTTCCACTAACTGGCCACTTTATTAGAAACACCCACCTTTTGCTTCCACTAACAGGCCACTTTATTTGAAACACCCACATTTGATAACTGTGCCAAATAAAAGGAAAACATATAGCTTATATGACAGCTTATAGAAAATATTCTCGCAGTTATGAACACCTTGCGCACCTGTGTGAACGACATAGTGCAACTGTTGAAACAAACTTATAGGCAGTGTTGGGGGTAAGGTTAGGGAAAGTGAAGTGATCTGAACTTTTTACCTATAATGAAATCGTGAAATACATTACAGTTTAAATTCCTGTAATCACATTACACGCACTGACTTAATAAAAGTCTCATTACTTTCGTTACTCATGTGTAAATAAACTTCAAGTTGTCTTGACAAAGCTAGCTAATGGATTAGAAAAGCGAAAGCTGTTGTAGATTAGAGTTGATTGTTTTTGTTGTTTTAAATAGAGTTGACTGTTTTTGGGATACCATAGCAAAGGCCTAGCAACATTTTGGCAACCACCTGGCATAACATAGCAACCGCCTAGCAACACCTTTGCAACCACCTGGCATGACATTGCAATGGCCTAGCAACACCTTAGCCACCACTTCAGATAACATGCCAATGGCCTAGCAACATCTTAGCAACCACCTGAAATACCATAGCAATGGCCTAGCGACACCTTAGCAACCACCTCAGATAACATGCCAATGGCCTAGCAGCATCTTAGCAACCACCTGGAACTTGATGGTTGCTATGGTGTAGCTATAGTATTGACAGGTGGTTGCTGTGGTATTTTCAGTGGTTGCTAGAGTGTTGCTAAGTGGTTGCTAGTATGTTACAAAGTGGTTACTATGTCATGCCGGATGGTTTCTAAGGTGTTGCTAGGCCTTTGCTATATTATCCCAGGTGGTTGCCAAAGTGTTGCTAGGCCATTGCTATGGTATCCCAGGTGGTTGCTAAGGTGTAACCAGCCCATTGCTGTGTTATCCTAGGTGGTTACTATGTTATCCCGAATGGTTTCTAAGGTGTTGCAAGGCCATGGCTACGGTATTCCATTTGGTTGCTAAGGTGTTGCTAGGCCGTTGCTATGTTGTGCCAGCTGGTTGCCAAGGTGTTGCTAGGCCATTGCTACAGTATTTCAGGTGGTTGCTAAGATGTTGCTAGGCCATTGGCATGTTATTTGAAGTGGTTGCTAATGTGTTGCTAGGCTGTTGCTATGTCATGCCAGATGGCTGCCAAGGTGTTGCTAGGCCGTTGCTATTTCATGCCACGTGGCTGCAAAGGTACTGCTAGGCCATTGCTACGGTATTCCAGGTGGTTGCTAAGGTGTTGCTAGGCCGTTGCTATGGTTTCCCAAGTGGTTGCTAGTATGTTTGTGTGTATGTGTGCTAGTAAGTTCTATGTCCTTTGAATTTTCTGATCATCCCATTGTGTTAGATTATTGTTTTTGAGTAACTACACCAACATTGACTATATAAAACACTAAGAATAGCTATAAAACACCTAAAAAGAAAGGCAATTTAAAGTTGCATGTTGGATTTACTGTGTAAAGATATCCTAAGGGATGAGGACCGGGCTGGAGAATGAATTAGGACTGTTTTTTAGTATATAAATCTTATAAAACCTTATGACGATATAAATAAAATACAACAAAAATGTATCAGGGCCCTTTAAAAATGATCTGTTCTGTCCATCCTTTCTGTGTTTTTTCTCCACGTTATTTTATCCTTATATCTGTATAATAACATGTGCTCTGTTTGCATAAATAAATCACGATGCACAGCTGTGAGTACTGAGAGCTTTTGTGTTTTTTTTTGTGTTTAATGTATGAACATCTATAATTACATATGCACACAATTTACTGGAGCTGTTGACTTCAATGAGTGTCAAATTGAAATGTGCTCTAAATCTGCCATTCACACAGCTGGCAGTTCAGTGGGGCAGTGTGGATAATTAAACATATCACATGTAAATAAATAAATAAAAAGTAGTTTTTCCCATATCTATTCCATATTTAAAGCCACTCACTCTCACTTGTTTGTTTTTCTGATTTGGCCTATAGTTCTATCATTGTTAATTCATGCGGTGTCTTTAGTGGCATTGTAAACAGTAAGATAGCATAATTTTGAGAAACTTTACCTTTTAAAATTTCAGGAATGTTTGTTTTTTACTGTTAGTCAGTAGCAGTAATGCTAACCAATCAGCACATAGTAGCAGTAATGCCAACCTATCAGTGCTCAGTAGCAGTAATGTTAACCAATAAACACTACGTAGCAGTAATGCCCACCAATCAGCACATAGTAGCAGTAATGCCAACCAGTCAGAACTCAGTAGCAGTAATGCTAACCAATCAGCGCTCGGTAGCAGTAATGCTAATGAATGAGCACTCTGTGGCAGTAATGCTAACCAATCAGCAAAGCTATGCTAACCAACAAAGAAAACATGCTCATTTATTTTTAACAAAACACTATCTAAGTTTTTTAAACTTAAGGAAGTGATGATGGTTTATTTTAATGTCTTATTTTTATCTCCATGCAGATATACAGGCATTGTGCACCCGTTTCGTCACCGTCTGCGGCCAATCACAGCTCTCTTTGCCATCTTCTTCATTTGGCTGCTAGCTTTCGCCATCATCTTCCCCTCGGCCGCCACACTGACCGTCATCCACCTGGACGACACCTACATGGTTCAGGACAACCAGACATACCCGCTGTTTGTTTGTTACGAGGATTGGCCCCAAGCTGACATGAGACGGATCTACACCACTGTGATCTTCGTCCATGTCTACCTAGCACCACTAGCACTAATTAGCATCATGTACGGCTGCATCGCCGCTAAGCTATCAGGAAACCTGCGGCACAACGGAGGTTCCGAGGCTCGGAGGGGGCGCTCCAGGCGCAGGGTGAAGGTCATCAAGATGCTAATCATGGTGGCCACGTTGTTCATGGTGTCGTGGCTGCCACTGTGGACGCTAATGCTGCTAACAGACTACCAGGATCTGAACCGACAGCAGATTGACTTCCTCAGCAGCTACCTGTTTCCCGTGGCCCACTGGTTAGCCTTCTTCAACAGCGGTGTCAATCCCATCATCTACAGCTTCTTCAACGAAAATTTCCGACGAGGTTTCCAGGCTGCAGTGGCCTGCCGGTCCTGCAACTTGCCACCAGTTGCCATGTGTGCCAGACGGTTTGCGGTGCTACCAGCTAACAAGGTGTCTGTCGGGAATAGAGAAGCGAACAGCGGAAAGAAAGAGCTGAGAGGAACTCAGGTTCAGGGCATTCTTCTGGAGGACTTGGACAGGCTAACTGCAGTCAAACAGATGAACGGAGCCTGGACAGAGTGAATTCTGAATATTCATAACTCCTTTTTTTCACAAACAAAGAAATTTATGCTATTTATACAGTTGTCACCCTTACCACAAATGTATTTAATCATCCAAGACGTGTCCAGAACATGCGTCTTCAGTTTTGTACTGGAATTACGAAAGCTTATGTGCACCAAACTAGCATTGTGCTATCTGTGGCTACATTATTACAACCGTGTGGAGTTGTTAAGTAGTTTCTGTTTGCTTATGTGGTTTCTGACACTGTATGGCATCATGTGATGTAAGTATTGGCAAAAATGTGTTACATAGCCAAAAACAGTGGTAGCAACCATCGCTGTTGTATACATATGGATAACAGTACGTTTTTCAGTGTGGTACCAATTTACAGCGAAATTAGCTAATATATTGTCTTGCTAGGTATGTCATCATTTTTGTTGATTTTCTAGCTTATGTGGATGATCAGCATTAAACCATTGAGAATTTACAATGGAATTAATGTAGTGAAGTAGTTTAAACGTTAGCCCAATAACGTAAGCTAATACGTAAGCTAATGTAAGCTAATGGATGATAGCTAGATAGATAATGTTAGTGTGTGTATAGTAATCTATATTTTACACTGAATCAAATCCATTATGCTTGTGCTGTGGCTAGCTAATTCCATCAGAAGTAGCTGCGTCATTCTCTATTTGGAGCGGGAATTCAGGTGGATACATTTTTGAAAAATCAGTTTCTTTCATCCCAAACATAACTGGACTTAATTTGTCCATTAATATCTCCTATTATCATATATGCAAAAAGAAGAGCTTAATTCCAAACGTATTTTACACGTCACTGGTGTTGACTGTGACTCCAGTGACATTCTGATTAAAACTGAGAATCCTCTAAATTGGCTGACTCATTGGTGGTCAGGTGATCTTGTTCAACTGTTTAAAATTAGTAATAAAAATAATATATGGCATTATTTTGACTTTATTGGACTCCTTCCTCTTTGATGACCCTTGACCCAAGGAAGCAGTTTAATAGAGCTGAAAATACTGTGTTAAAATGTAATATAAGAGTCCTGATAACACCAGAGACCAAAATCTCTGTGACAAATGATTTTTAAAAATAAGTACATATTTTTAGATATAGTATAATGTAATAATATAAAAACTAAACATGAATCTATTTTATACAAATTCCTAAGTTAAACCTCTTCAAATATTATTTTACATTAAAAATAGTTTCTCAAGTGTTGAAAATTGGTTTTGTGATGAGCTGTTTTACATATGCAGAGCAACAATGAAACAGGATTAAAAAATAAAAATCATAAGGGAAAAATATTATTTAATCTTAGCTCAACTGTGTAAATGTACATACCAACATTTGGAGCTGTGCCTAATATTTTAAGCATCTTTTTAGACCCTGCAACTTTAGTGGCACGGTTTTCCACTCCAAATGGAGCGCAGCTGCACAGGTTCATAGTTCCAGACTAGCAGGCTAGCAGGTTTAACTAGAACCATTAGCTTGGGTTCTGTGGTTGTAGCTCAGGAGCAGAAGCCCAACACTGGAGATTATAGGCATACGTACATTATGTACTAAGTACATTATTCCCCACAAATATCATTGTCTTGAATTAAGTTTGTTAAATAGTCCAAATAGAATCATACTAAATGTAAACTAACACTGCTGCACACTGAGTTGACATCATAAGACTCACCCGCATCAAAATACCCAGTTTGTCCAGTGTGGTAGTTTAGCCTCATCCAGATCACTGTACTGCTACCACACTTCCATCAAAGCATTCAGTTTGTTACGGTGATGCAATGCACCATTAGAAAGCTTGAAATCTCAGGATTCAATTCAGCAAACCATTTTATGATCCGTTATTCACAGCAGTTGCAATCGTCTCATTTGGATCACAAGCACAGAATGAGCAGAATGGTTCTATATAAAACCATGAACATTCAAAGAACCATTTGCATGATTAAAGGGTTCTTCAGATTGATAGAGAATGTGCTGTATATGATTCTATACAGAAACTTTTTTGAAAAGTGTACTACATAGCACCAAAAAGGGTTCTTCTATTGTTGAAGAACACTTTTTGGGTGCTATATACAACCCTTTTCGAAAAGGTTCTATATAGAACCATTTACAGCATGCTACACTCTTAAAAAAAGTTAATTCTTCAAGGGTTCTTTTGTAAAGTTTTAGTATAGGAATGTTTTTGAGAAGTGTTCTATATAGCACCAAAAAGGGTTCTTCTATTGTTATGACATGAAGCTTGTAATAATAGAAGAGCCCTTTAATCATGCAAAGGGTTCTTTGATTGTTCATGGTTCTACATAGAACCATTTTCTTTACTAAAGAAGCCTTGAAGAACCATCATTTTTAAACATGTAGCAAATCTGTGTGTCCTCATCTTCAAAGCCTCGCCACTCTCCACAGAGACATCATAACACAAAACATATGGTCTGATAACACAGCTAGAGTCAGGGATCAGTTTAGAGATCTGAGTCAAGAGGAAATAAACTCCTCCATTCTAGCCTCTGTAACTCTGTGACAGTCAGTCAGACAGTAATTATGACAGTTTCCTTTCAAATGAGACCGAGATCATAACTGCAGCCCAAAGTTCATTTTAACTTCACGTAATTAAGAATGTTGATTAAAAGTACAGGAGTGTTCGTTTTTTGGCAGCACGTTTGTAACAATTTCTGTATTTTGACTATTTATTTGCGTCATAATTCAGAGGAGCCAGAAGCCAGGCCTCCATCCACATATTTGTATGTGCACTTTGACTAATTGATGAAAAAAGACTTGTTGGGAAATTTGCATAAAAGTTTGTATGCTCATTTGAGGTGGATACATTTTTTTGCTGATAAAAATGAATGTGATAAATAATGAAAACGCATTTGCCAATATGCCGTAATGTAAATGTGAATAGAAGAAACTCATTTGGCTGATCAGGTCATTCCGTTTAAGTGGCCATCGCTGCAAAACATGACGGCATGAAGGCAGCAGCTTCCAGTAAGCTGATGAAGAAATGAAAACCTACCTTTATCTTATAGTTAGAGGGTAAACAGGCAGACGGGGCAGCTGATAAATGATCGTTGTGTTAGTTAGTGCGATCTGTGTCTGCTCTCTTATGACGTAACATACAGCCATAAAATGAAACACGACAGAAACAGTAGCTATGTTTCTATTGATTTTCTGTGCAAACTGCAAGTACAATGAAAACACACAAAAAATTTTTTGCCACCTTATAGGTTGCTGCCATCAAACTGACTTGTAGTGATAAAAATGCTTTACATTAAAAAGTCTGTTTCATTCTCTAATTTCATGCTTGTGCAGCTTGTGTACCTTTGACTTTTACTTCTACCTTTTGTATGATTATTATTATAGTTATTATTATTTTCATCTACATTGTTCCATGCGTTCCTGTTGTGTAAATGCATCAATTTTCCTGAAAATGTTTCCAGTATAGGTTTTTACAACATTTTAGGTATTCATAAACAATGCTAAATGTTACAGGACAAAACATATCAGCTTGAAACAGTTTTGTTTACGGCAGAGTGAGATAAGAGTGACTTTCGAAAACATTCATTTTTCCCTTACAGATAAACCTCATTCCTTTTATGGGCATGACAGAAAAACCACAATCCTTTTATGGGCAGGACAGAAAAACCTTATTCCTAATATGGGCATGATGGAAAAACCTCATTCCTCATATGAGCATGACAGAAGCCTCATTCCTTATATGGGCATGACGGGAAGACTTCATTCCTCATATGGGCATGATGGGAAAACATCATTTCTTATACGGGCATGATGGAAAAACCTCATTCCTTATACGGGCATGATGGGAAAACCTCATTTCTTATACGGGCATGATGGAAAAACCTTACTCTTTATGTGGGCATGATGGGAAAACCTCATTTCTTATACAGGCATGATGGAAAAACCTTACTCTTTAAATGGGCATGATGGGAAAACCTCATTTCTTATACGGGCATGATGGAAAAACCTTACTCTTTATGTGGGCATGATGGGAAAACCTCATTTCTTATACAGGCATGATGGAAAAACCTCATTCTTTAAATGGGCATGATGGGAAAACCTCATTTCTTATACGGGCATGACAGGAAAACCTAATTTCTTACATAGGCATACCAGGAGAACCTCATTCCTTATATGGGCATGATGGCAGAACCTCATTCCTTATATGCGCATGATGGAAAAACCTCATTTCTTATATGGGTATAACAGGAAAACCTCACTCCCCATATGGGCATGACAGGAAAACCTCATACCGTATATGGGCATGACGGAAAAACCTCATTCCTTATGTGGGCATGAAACTTTATTCCTCATACAAGCATGATGGGAAAACCTCATTTCTTGTACAGGTGTGATGGAAGAACCTCATTCCTTATTTGAGCATGACAGAAAAACCTAATTTCTTATATGGGCGTGATGCGAAAACCTTATTCCTTATATGTTATGATGGAAGAACTTCATTCCATTCCCATGGGCATGTTGCTGGTTACAGAACGATGCGCAACCTCACAGATTCGTGTTTGTGATATAAAGCAGAGTAACAGCCAGCTAAGAGCAGCTATAGCTGCGGGCCCTCGGTGTGGGGTGAGTGGCATCAGAGATCCTAAGGGGCCTCAGAGAAACCACAGGAGCCTGGAGTAGCCTGGAGGCTGCGAGCCCTTCTCATCAACCATCTGCCATTCAGCCAATCTAAGTAGGCGATTCTCCACTGAGCTGCAGAATGAGCTCCTGCTGCACGTCTCAATGCGCTGTTCTTTTCCGCAGGCCTCCACTGCAGTGCACTGCACGCAGTCAGAACCGCACAGAAACCTCACACGCTCACAGAAGCACAGCTTCCTCCATCACTCACAGGCCACCGCAGGGCCTTGGAGGAATGATGTATAAAGGTTTTGTAACTGCTTCTGGAGCTCAGAGACTGCAGCTAGATCTCCATCTGCATATTCTTATGTGTATTTTGATGTATTAGATAAAAAGAGCTTGGAAATAGTAAATATTGAATACTTGCTAAAATTCACGTCAAAGCAGGCCTTTAATTTGGGTGCATAAATGTAAAAACATGGTCAAAAAATCTCTGGTATAATGCTAAATTCTGCTAGTTTCCCTATATGATTTTATAGTTTGTTAGTGCTAAGCTAATGGCAAGTTGCATAAACATTTTTTGCCTGTCCTGGAGTAAACAGACATTTGGAGCTTGTAAAGTCATTATCATATATCTCAGCTTGATGTATCGGTTTTACACTGACTCTTTCAGTAAAGGGTCTTGACATAAAGCTGCCACCGCTGTTTAACATTCCTAACAACTAACCTGAACCTGCTTAGACTACAACTCGTATTCACAGTCATATCTGGAGCTTCCAGAAGGACTAGAGTGAAGTTTTTACTAAATCGGTCCTAGTGCAAATCAAAGTGTGACTGGTGGATTCTCTTTCTAATATATTGTTTGCAGTCATGTGATTCTGATGACGCATAAAATCCAGATGGAGATCAGAAAGTGAAGAGCAGAATGGAGAGACGGAGACGAGCCTGTACTGCGCTAAGACTGTGAATGTTAGCCCATTCACAAAACAACACTGAGTAAGCCTTACAAAAGCGAAGATAAAAGACCCCAAAATCAAAGATTGTTGTATAGAAAACATGGACAATCATAACACCATAAATAGAGACACTGAATTACTCAAACACAGTTTATTTCAGCACTACTTTGCAAAGTGTTCCGGCTAAGTCCTCAAAACCAGTTTCCCAAATTCTGTAAAAAACATGCAGCAGCTGAACCGTGAGCCAATAGAAGCAGCTGACCACTGAGGACCTTATAAATAAGTATAAAACAATGTCTAATTATTAGAGAACGCCATCCCACTATTGCGTCTAAAACACAGTGAGGGAGTATTGTAATTATCCCCAGAGATAACACAAACGGTGGAGTAATAAAGTGAGTCAAACTGATTTAACATTGCTTCAAAAGTGTTTTGCATCTCATGGCAATTTTGCTTGCTTATTTCCAGTACAGCAGTCTGTTTTCACACATGCGCAGACTGAGAAGTCTGAAAGAAATCAGAATAAAAGTTTACATGCACTGAGAAATCTGATTACTGAGCTAAAATCCAGCCTCTTTATCAGATTTCTTAATCGGATTTCTTGACCTAATTCTCCGAAGAAATCAGAGTTTGCTGTTTACATGACCATTTAAATAATCAGATAACCACAGAAATCCAATTATGATCAGATTATTGAGTGCATGTAAACACACTCACTGTGGTGAAATCCTCAAGGGTGTGTCTTTACTACTGTTAGTTAGGGAACATGACTATGCCATTACATTTTAAGTGGTATTGGCTCCACACACCTCGTCTTCTCTTCAGCATTTTTATTTTCAGGCTTTAGTTTTAAACATTAGGTTATGAGAAGGTACAAATATGCAGCTTTCCTCTGGAAAAAAAAAATTATTTAAGCTACACAGTTGGATCTTTGAGGGCACATTTACATTGTTTGTACCTTGAACAAAAAGGGTACCTTTTTTTCTGACATTGAGGTAGCTTCCACAGTCGTCTCTACACTGTGCATTGGGAGACATGATTTATTTCTGTATAGAAAAACAATTTCATAGTAAGTAGGTTTGTATTAAATTCTTACATTCTGTGACTCTTTCAGTGGAGAAACCATTCAGAGTGTTAATGCTCAGGTTAGCAAGTTATGAAAACTAAAAAAACTAAAAAATGGAGACATGTTTGGGTTTTTTGGACAGCTACAAAATGTGGACAGTCTGGGGTTCCCTGAGGACCGGACTAAGAACCACTGCTCTGAGAACCCCTTTTCTGTATTTTTGTCATTACCTGATTTTATTGGGCACTTTGCGTGATGATGGGCTGGCTTGGGTCAATTGTGGACAGTATTTTAATAGACTCTTGTTAATTTTGGACTCAAAACATGATTCTATGGCTCAGTCTGGGTTAGGTTTGGGTCTGATTGGACTTAAACAGAAAGGTTCTAACAAGTGTTTTCACACATGGCAGTGTCACTGCTGGGCTGAGAGTGGACCATCACCCAAAATATCACAAACTGACCACTGGTGAATGGCTAACACAAACTTTGATGTTTCTGATAAAGTGTCTGAGTTCATCACAAGATGAATATATCAGTGAAGTATATGAAAATATTTAATATTCAAATGCACAACAAGGTTTTTTGATTATGTATATACAAATATGTATGTAATGGATTTTTGGTGAACTGTGTCACTTTTATCTTTTCATACTGTATCAATATTTGTCTGATATATTGAATTGCAAGCAACACTGGAATTATTTATTTATGATACAGTCGTTCCATTCAGGGTAAATGTTTCTGTCTAAATGGACTCTGTGTGTTCACTTTATGTACATTATGTCTTTTCTACTGCTGTTTAATGCACAGTTTGTTCAGTGTCAGAGGTATTAAAATGTTGGCATTGCTAACTGTTAAAGTCTCTTATCTCTCATTATTCTGTAGCACCACAGTACAGTCAATACAGAGACATTGCACAGAAAAAGTGAAAATGTGACAACATTTTAACAACTGAAGAAAGAAAGAAAGAAAGAAAGAAAGAAAGAAAGAAAGAAATGAAGTAAGAAAACAGCAAAATTTCTTTTTTTTAGTATCAACCAGGGCTAGAGTGAGCCTTGTTTTCAACCTCTGGGGTCCATGAACTCGCTTGCTTGTCAAATTCTCTGTTTCTGTATCTGTTTCTGTGTCTGTGATAATCCAGCACAGAAATACAGTTTAAATAGAGTCGCCCTTTCCATTCCATCTTATCACGAGATCATACGTGACTCACATATAGAGTTATGAGGCTATGAAGATGGGCTGAGATACACGTCATCTGCCTCTCACCACATGGAACTGGTGGATTTGTGTGTCCGTCTACATTCTGTGTGAATCTGACCAATGGACACTCAGGAAATCACTAAGGACTGATCTGTCACGCCAGAAACCCTTCATTCTTCATTCAGTTCACATCTGAGACACATGTGAAATGGCGTGCAAAGAAATTACAGCTGCTAAAGTTGCTGCAGCGGTTTTGGAAAGTAGTGATGAAGATAATGAAGCATTGTGATATGAAACATATGAGTATCATGTTATATGAAGAGCCTTTAAAGTAGAATTTGAGAAGATATGAACAAATCCAGAGAATGACCTCAGACCACATAGGGTTAACAGAGGAATTACTTGAAGAAAACTGCCAAAAAGTAGGGACGGGGACATGTTTACCACTGTGCTGTATCACCTCTTCTTTTAACAGCACTCTGTAAGCATTTGGAAACTGAGGAGACCAACTGCTGTAGTTTTGAGAGTTAAATGTTTCCCTGTTCTTGTTTGATACAGGATTTCAGCTGCTCAGCAGTTCAGGGTCTCCTTTGTGCCAAATGTTTTCAGTGGTGACAGGTCTGGACTGCAGGACCCCCAGACCATCACGGATGCTGGCTTTTAATTTGCGCCGATAACAAGCCAGATGGTCGTTCTCCTCTTTAGCCCAGAGAATACGGCGTCCATGATTTAAAAAAAAAATCAAATTTTGATTTGTCGGACCACAGCACACTTCACCTCAGTCCATTTTAAATGAGCTCAGGCCCAGAGAAGGCGGCAGCGTGTCTGGATCCTGTTTATATATAGTTTCCCCTTCGCATGGTAGTGTGTTCACAGACAGTGGTTTTCAGTGTTTCTGAGCCCATGCAGTGATTTCCACTACAGAATCATGTCTGTTTTTAATGCAGTGCTGCCTGAGGGCTCGAAGCTTACGACCAGCCAGTATTGGTTTTCAGCCTTGTCCCATACATGCAGAGATTTCTGCAGATTCTCTAATATCTTTAAATGATATTATCTACTGTAGATGATGAAGTTCTGTATTTTGTAGTGGTAGTTTAGTGGTATTAAAGTGGTAGTTCGGGTTCTTTTTCTGCAGCTCACTCAACTTTGCCAGCCAATCGCAGCGCAGGAAGCAGGACAGTAGCCAATCGCAGCGACAGGAGGACAGGCTTTGTCTGAATATGGGTGGGTTTTTGGCCGAATGCGGGCGTGAAGTCGGAGCTCCTAGCAGTACAGTGGCTGGCTGTGCTGGCTGAGGGCCCGGCACTGCTCCGGAATAAAGGCAGTAAAGACGCTGAGGCAGCGGGAGCTCGCGGAGGGAGTGCCCGCCTCTAGGAGCCCCAGAGCCCGCCCCAAAGCCAGCGCCGCCCGGTCCCCTCCAAGTTTAGCCCAGCACATGCAGGCAGCCATGCACTCCCAGTGGACATGTTTACTGCTGCAGCTGGGCTTGTTACTGACCACCGAGCTGGATGTGGAGGCAGAATATGAAGTGACTGAAACTGATGCAATCGACTACAAGGACCCGTGCAAAGCTGGTAAACGAATCACGTCCCTCTTCATAAGTGTTTTTAGACGTCTCGAGAGAAGTGTGTGTGTGTGTGTGTGTTTTTGTGTGCGTGCTGTCCCACATGACAGCGTGAGAACTTGCAATAACAACTTAAACGACAAGCTGTCTGAATAACTTTAAAAGCGCATACGTAGGTGTATAAACCGTGTCGATTATTTTGGTAATCGAGTAATCTGCCGATTATTTTGATGATTAATTGAGATTTCAGGGCCAAAAAAAAAGACATATCTAAACAATAACAAAGAATGCATAACTTTTGCTATTGCAAAAACATCAACCATGAAGCTTTTTAAAAAGTTTATTTTTATCAAAAATATAGAAATACTAAATGCATATCAATGAATATATCTATCAAGCTGTTTAGTACTGCATGAGATATGTGCATATGCATATAATGTGCATTACAATCATGAAAATTACCCAACTGCAGATTTATAAAGAAGGTAAATGTTCTTTATATCTTTTTTTCACTTAAGTATGTGTAATTACTTAAATACTTAAGTGTAATTTTTTACCTTGAGTAGAATTGAGTTATCATGGCAACACTAACTTAAACACAGCTTTACTGAGTTCACTGCTGTCTCGATTATTCAAATAAACGTATAGTACTGTGCAGAAGTTTTAGGCACCTGAGATACGATATTCCAAAGGCTGTTTGTCTGGGCAGTAACATTAGAATAAATATAAAGAACACATATACAATAAGCAATGATTTTACGTCTGTCAGTGTGGAAATCATTTCCAAACTTCTCCTCAAGGAAGGCCTGTGTAAATTGTAGTTATCATCAGTGTCGCACAAGTTACTGGAAATTAGTGACGAATTACAGTTACTTAACTTTCTTAAGTAACAGCAAACCTGGCAACCGGTCTGTTTAGTTCTGCCTGGTTTACAGACTGTGCGGACGACTTCTTGGGTTTAAATGAGCAATTTGTAAGATGACGCAGTCTGTCGAATTCATACTCCACACAATAGGGGGCAGTACATCACCAGAACATTGCGGTGTCCACCCGTATTGTTAGAAATGAGGAAATACACAGTCTCTCCTCCTCCCTCTTCACTCCTCCCCCTGTTTACTCACCAGTCTAGAAGAAAATTTGCGGATTTGGCATCAAACCTCATCCCTTTTTTGCCAAGAGCTCCAGCGCTGATGCTAACTCTTATTTTGCTTCTATTTATGTCACTTCTTTTCTTTGCTGCTGAACATTGTTTCTTGCGGTGGTGGTGATGATGGTCACTCGCCAAGAGTTTCAGCCATCGCTGCGTTTACTGTTTCTTTATCTGCTACCTGTCTTTAAATGATCTAAGGGGGGCGGGACCTTCAATATCATTGACGAGAGGTTAGAACATGCCCTCAGGACAGTGCTACTTCTTCATCCTGTCATGCTGGAGGTACCAAGTGGTATTATGAGAGAGGATGGGCCGAGGCTAGCTGGTTAGCATGCTAACTTCAGTAGATATCTCTGCAACACAATACATAACATGAAAACTGTTATTTGTTCACATTCTGTTAATCATTTCAGTTAATATTGGAATGTTTTAAAGTAAAAATCGCACAAAAAGCATCTTTAAAATTGAGCCTTGGCTGTTTGGATGAAGGGCTTGTTGGTCAGCGATGTTAGCACTGGGGTCTGTCACGGTTAGCTTTGTAGAAGCGTGTTGTTCTACCAGCTGCTTCAGAAGATTAGAATTACTGTTCTTTGGTGTGTATAAAGTTGTCACACTTATAGACTACAGCTCACCAGAGTATTTCTGTCCATGATCTCGAGATGGGAAAAATAACGCCCACTTTCAGGACAGTGAGATCACACTGACCAAGCTGTTGGCCACTATGTGATTTACTCATTCATTGGGCCACCGTGGGGTCGCGTAATGTTCGATCATAAACAGAAACTGGGGGAACTCGCTGCGTTAGTCTGGTATAGTCTGCAGTCCATTAATATTTTCACACAAGACAAAAGTGACGAGTAATGAGCCCATTTAAATTTTAGTGATTGTAGCTGGAAACATAATCAGATTACAGTAACACATTACTGTGTAACTCATACTTCTAATACTGGTTATCATTCAACACCTACTTTATCTCAGGATGACTTCATGATGTTAAATCAGGAGCTGCTGATGGAGTTTAATAAATCCATATGATGCTGGAGGGGAAATCTGGATCCAAACTCTGTTCTTCAAACTAGCTCACAAGATATGAGCTACACACTTATAAACTTCAAGGGTTCTTTAGTAAAAAAAGGTTCTATATATAGAACCCTGAACATTGAAAGAACTCTTTGATTAAATGGTGCCTTGCATGGTGAATGGTTTTTCAGATTGATGGAGAATGTGCTGTATATGGTTCTATAAAGCACCAAAAAGAGTTCTTTTACCGTAACAAGCCTGACATTGTAACAATAGAAGAGCCCTTTTAGTGCTATATAAAACCCTTTTCAAAAAGGCTCCATATAGAACCATCTACATATATTCTCCATTAATCTGAAGAACTCTTTCACAATGCAAACAACCCTTTAATCATGGAAAGAGTTCTTTGAATGTTCATGGTTACAATATATATTATATATAATATATCCAGTGCTGTCATGATAACAGTTAAGTTGATTTGTCTTTTAAAACTTCATTCGTTAGGAGCATTGTCTTTTAAGGCTTCAGATTTGAGTCCTACAGCAGTGAAGTCCAATTCTCTACAGTTTTTTTCCGCGTGCCTATGAGAGCCAAGCAGTCAAAGCTCATGAGGCCCATGATGTGCTGTGAATGGGAGCAAGGCAGCAGGCGGGACAGTGGATTAAAACCCCATGCAGCTGGTTTGGGCCGTAATTTAGAGGCTGTTTAAATATAGCGTGCTGGCGGCCACCAACTTATCTCCAAGCACAATGCAGGCACAGGAGCAGAGTTCTAGTCAGCAGCACAGTTTAAGAGAGTTCAGCTCTGCTTTTAGTCCTGTAACACGGTCGACTTTGCTAATCGCCAGATTTTCCGCTTTTCTACTCCTGAATCATTCGGCCTGTCTGTCATCCTGAGGGACGGTCCGCTCTTTCACTCTTTCACTGGGGACAGGATGGTATGCTTCAAGTGACAAAGCCCTGCTCTTAGTTTGATATTTCTAATTACAGAAGAACATTTTGACTATATATATATATATATGATGTACAAATCATTTAAAGGCCATATTTAATTGAAAATAGTACAAAGACAACATATCAAATGTTGAAACTGAGAAATGTTTTTGTTTTTTTAAAATATGTGCCCATTTTGGATTTGATGCCAACAACACGTTCCAAAAAAGTTGGGATGGGGGAAACAAAAGACTGGTAAAGCTGTGTAATGCTAAAAAAAACACCTGGTGGTTAATTGGCAACAGGTCAGTAACACAAAAAAGACACCATATATAAACAGGATCCCAGAAATGCAGAATTGCGTATTTCAGCAAGACAATGCCAAACCACATTCTCCATGTATTACAACAGCATTTCTTCGTATTAAAAGAGTCCGGGTGCTAAACTGATCTGCCTGCAGTCCAGACCTGTCACCACTGATATTATTTGGAACATTATGAAATGAAAAACATGACAAAGGAGTCACTGAACTGTTGAGCAGCTGAAATCCTATATCAAACAAGAACAGAAAAACATTTCACTTTCACAACTACAGCAGTGTCTCCTCAGTTCCCAAACGCTTACAGAGTTTGTTAAAAGAAGAGGTGATGCAACACAGTGGTAAAGATGCCCCCATCCCAAGTTTGTGTTGCTGCCATCAAATTCAAACGGGCATATTTTTTTCAAAAAACAATAAAACTTCTCAGTTTCAGCATTTGATATGTTGTCTTTGTACTATTTTCAATTAAATGTAGGGTTTAAATTATTTGCACATCATTGGACTTCGTTTATTATTTACATTTTGCACAGCGTCCTAACTTTTCTGGAAATAGGGTTGTATATATATATATATATATATATATATATATATATATATATATATATATATATATATTTGACTGCTGTGTAAACAATACATGTTGAAACTTTGTTTTACAAACAAACTACTTTATTCCAAACAAAGTGGTGTTAAATAACAACGCACTTGTGTTACCCATTTTAACACTTTTTGTGTTATATTATTGTCCGATTAACAAATTCTGTGTTAAAAGTAGCACAAAGTGTGTTGTCCATTACTGGGTATAGAAATATTTCAACACATTTAGTGTTAAAAATGACACAAAATGCATCATCTCCAACTAAACACACTGATTTGTCTAGTTAGAGACAGAATGTGTTGTTTTTTAACACATCTGTTTTAAGAGTGTAAAGAAATTTTGACTTTCCTTGATACAGGCTTTTTAATTATTTATTTGAGGTGAATGTAACCACCTAAAATGCTTTTTACCACATGAAATATTGTTTTTAGGTTAAACTGACTGACTATTTTTTTTTACAGTGTAACTGTGGGTTTTTTTTTTTTCAATTTATTTTTATTGGGTTTTTACAGGGTTACAGTAAAATCACTGTTCACCACATGCAAGAACATGACAAAGTGCCTGAGGGAAAAATAATAGAGAGAGTGAAAAAGGTGAAGTGTATTTTCATACACTGTGCTCATTCAAAGTGCTTTACAAAAAAGAAAATATAAGATAATTCAAATTTAAATTTAAAAAGTGAAGGAGGACAGAAATTAAAACATTATTAAAACAATAGATTTAAAAGAAAAAAATTAATCATTAAATTAAAAATCAGGTTAAAGCTGAAATGAGTATAATAGAGTGTTGTTAGAGGAGAGAAGTGCAGGAGAGCTAACAGTATTTAAACTGAGCTGAAAGCTTCTCTAATAGGAACACTTTCAGGCTGGATTTAAAACTGTCCAGTGTTGGGACTCTTCTAATGCTCTCTGTCAACTGGGTCCATTTAAGAGCAGCATAGTAGCCAAACGCTGCCTCTTCATGTTTAGTCTTCACCTTCTGCAGGACTAAC